TGGTAGATTCAATACGAAGCAGTTTGTTTCGGCTCAACTTTCACTTAAGATTGAATTCGATTTTTCGTGTAAGCAAAGTTTGTGTGTGCTTAGTTCATGTTACCGACCTCTTCTAATGAATAGAATCAAATTTGTGAGAGCCATATGATTGATAAGGTACGTATGAGTCATGAGTGTACTCTTTTATCATACTACTATTCACTCACGAAACGAAATTACATTTCTAGGGAAAAGGGAAAGACAAAGCTACAGATTGTTAGGTAACACTTTCCGTATAGGCACATGGATTTTTAATTATTTATACATTATAATAAACACACTAAATTATACGTGTAGACTGTAGAAACGTCGAACATTCTAAATTAAAATCATATAACTTTTTCTTCGCAAAATTGATTCTACGAACATGGAGTATTTGATCATTCAGATTATCACATATTCATATTGGAATGATACTTTACGGAATTATTGTTCACACAAATATATATGTTTGAAAATTCCATAAGGATACTATTCTGAACTTAGAAATTTTGGACAGAATATTCATAGATTTTTCTTGATTAATAATTCAAAAAATGAATCGTAAGGAAAAGGCTAAAAGTGATGCAGTGCGTTTTCACGTGCTTCTTCTGCTGCATTTGGCCAAAGTTTTGGAACGTAATGTCAAATTAAAAGACCAAAATGCCCTTACACAAATCTCTTCCCCGAAACATCGGAGCATAACGAAAACATTAGCCAATGACGGAATTACGTTTGGATCGTTGTTTTGAATTCGTGCCAAATGTCAAACCGAGCACTTCGTCGGACCATGGCTTGATTTGGTCGGACCGGTTTGATTTTTTAACACAAAGACAGTGATAGGAAAAAAAAGCAAGATAGACAAGTAGTGTTTGGTAGAATATTTTTTTTTTTTAAATTAAGATAAATTAACACGGTACATCCAAACGAAAAAACTATTATCAGTGATATTTACAAGGTATAATAATAACGTATTGGTGGAGTGATCGATATTAGTAGCGATCTTGCAATATGCTTATTTTATGTATTTTTTTTTTTGTTAAAAATGAAACAACATGCTTATTTTTACGTTCACAATTAATATTTTATGTTCTGAAACAATGTTTCAAACACATATTTAAATAGATTACATATTTATGTTCCATAATTCACACCCTATACAAAATGCAAATACACAGCAACACCCTATAGATTACTAATTGAGTATTATTGACTACTACTACCCACTGACTGACCCTACAATTTTATTTTTACTCCCTTATTGCAAAACGCCAAGAATCGCAAGTTTTGGTTTTTTGAATACTATCGTAAAATATAAAACAAAGCAAAAAACAAAAACTACGATAGTATTCATAATTTTCCGTCATAATCAAATAAATGCGAGCATGTAAATGTTATTAATTTAAATTATACACAACTACTCCATCTACATTGTCTTTGGATAGTCTTTGGATTTAAGTTTATTTGTAATAAAACCTAATTCGAAATAGAAAAAATTGATTGTACCCCGGTTCATACAAGCCCGTGCTTATGTTATAAAAAAAAGGCAATGGCCTGTGGCCTTTTTTTTTTTAAATTAAAATTAGAGGCCC